AGGCAATGAAATTGCTCGACCTAAAGGGAGAGGCAATGAAATTGTTAGACCGACAATGTCAATTCTATGTTGACTTTCTGACAAATTTACTACGATATATGTAAATGAGGACAGAACATGCTGGAATCACTATGTGAGAATATACACATACTTCACTGTGGAGATGATTTTTATTATTTAACTATTTTTAATCAAAATTAATTTTTTTTTATCAATAGTAATATCAGATTCAAATTTTATTAAAAGTATAAAAAAAATATTTAATAGACTAAAATAGAGATGTTGGTATAAAAATTAATAGAAAATACAACAAATGGTAATAAAGGTAAATTGTTGAGTTGTAATAAATACTAGTTGACAAATATTTCCGTCAACTCTTTACTTGGAAACTTTCTCGTGTTTTGCCAGCTGTATTGAAGCTGTCAAACGCGGCGTTAAGTGACCGTTGAAAGCAAAATCTCTTTCTCAATCTACGCGTTTTTTAATTTTTTGGAAATTCACTGAAATTATAATTTTTGTTCCTAATTTAGAATTTAAGTTAATTTATCAAATCATTTTTAATAGATGTTTTTATTTTTGAATATAATTTTTATTAAAAAATGTAAATAAAGAGAATAATATTACGTAAGCAAAAATATAATATAATATTATAACACAGTATTAATATTTTTTAAAACACTTTCATAATTAATTCTTTCAAAACTCCTACAAACCCTGTTCACGAACAGAAATAGGAGAAATGAACGGTTGTTTTTCATTCTTAATATCGATTTAATTATGGAAGCTGAAGGCGATTAAACGACAGCGTTCGAAAGCCGGCCCATAAAGATGGATTTGGAGATTTAAGGCCCAATTAACTGGCCCATAAGCAAACAGAGTTTAAAAAAAAAAAAAAAGAAAAGAAATTGGTAAACCTGTAGGCCGAAAAGGAACCATTGAGCATGTGGGACCCACAAATAGAAAATTGGTAAAACTTTTGGGCTTCTTGCGATGAGGTGGGCCCATAATTGCTTTAATTGTACTGTAAATGGGCCATTAAAGCCCATTTCCTCGTCAGGTTCCAAGCAAGCACCTGCCAGCCACGTCGGAGTTTCAAACCATTTTCCCATAATTTGTCTTCTCTTCTCTTTAAAATTACATTTCAGGTCAGGTCAGGTCACCAATTTAATATTATTATTAAAAAAAAAATCATTAAAATTTCCTACTCGTTTTACCATCCCTCTCCTGCTGCTCTTTGATTCTCTCTAAAATTTCGGGCTGTTCTTTTGCCGCTGGTTTTATAGAAATGGCAACTGTCCAGTCACTTACAAATGGCGTCTCTGAGATTACTCAAGAGGTTGGGATTTTTTTAATTTTTAATTTTTATTTTTAATTTTGATTTCTTCTTCTTTGTCTTTTGCATGCGGGTTTGTATTTTGATCCATTTTTGCCATTGATTTTATGATTATTTTCAGCTGTTCTTAGAGCTTTGTAATCGATAATGTTCTGTTCTTTCGAGTTAAGCCAGATTGATTAATATTTAGAAATGTTCTGAGAAATTAATGATCGTTTGTTTTGATTTAAGTGCTGAGGTTTATTCGAAACAGTTAATTTTATGTTTTCTGAGCTTAATTTGAGCTGAATTATTGTCGTAATCCCGGACATGGCGTTGAGGCTGTCCTGTTTTTTTGGGGAAAGTTGTGTTTCTGTTTGTACTTTGTAGATCTTGAACAGTGTGTCGAGTTCTAGCTAAGAAGACAATGCTCTTATTATCATAAATTAGATCTATAACCTCCAGAATTCATTTGTATAATGCTTAATCAGTTAATATGGGTGAATTTATTTGATAATTTTGCTTAATCTCTTATTTACGTTGTGTTTATGTTGTTTAAAAAGTTACACTGCAATAGGATCCGAATGGATGGATGTTTGGGGAATTTGTGATTCCGTACACTGGCTCGTGGGCTGGTTATCGCCCCGAGAGCGTAGCGGAGTGGGATGTTCGTTAAGCAAATTCACGTAGGGAGTTTGGGTTTGCAATTGTACTTTAGTTTTTATTGTTAGAAATGAAAAATAAAATGTTGATTTTTACAAAGAGGTGGGAAAGTATGTGAGATCCTACGTCCGTAAAAACTGTGAGGATGGCGGCGATACGTAATGAGCCAAGGCGAACAATATCTGGTAACGGTGGGCTTGAACTGTTACAAATGATATTAGAGCCAGTCATCGGGCAGTGTGCCAGCGAGGACTCTAGCTCCTAAGGGGGTGGATTGTGAGATCTCACATCGGTTGGAGAGAGGAACGAAACATTCCTTATAAGGGTGTGGAAACCTCTCCAAACAGACGCGTTTTAAAAACTGTGAGGGTGATAGTGATACGTAACGGACCAAAGCGGACAATATCTACTAGTGGTTAGTCTTGGCTATTACAAATGGTATAGAGTCAGTCACCGAGTGGTGTGCTAGTGAGGACGCTAGCCCCTAAAGGAGTGGATTGTGAGATCTCACATCGGTTGGAGAGGGGAACAAAACATTCCTTATAAGGGTGTGGAAACCTCTCCCTAGCAAACATGTTTTAAAAACCGTGAGGTTGATGGTGATACGTAGAGTCAAAACAGACAATATCTGCTAGTGTGGGTTTGAGTTATATCAGTAGTTATTTAGCATATATAGATATATATTTCTTAGAGATGAACTTGGAGGAGAGCCATTGACATATGAACATTTTTTTTTTTTTGCTTTGTGAGTTCTTTCTGTGTAAATATGTATTGAACTGCTTAGATAGTCAATGAATTTAATTTGAACTCGAACATTTATTATAAGCAGGAAGACGACCCGATTGTAAAATCTGTGAATGAGCAGACATCAGGTGGTGGACATAGTAGTAGACGTCCCGATATTTCCCTTCAAATACCCCCGAGATCGTCGAGTTTTGGTAAAAGCCGTAGCGGGAAAGGTTTACTGCAATCTCAAGCTTCCAGTAAAGGTGTTTTATCTCCAGGAAGCATCATAAGGGCTTTAAGCTTTAAGAGAAAAGGCATTGCTGCTGCAGGTGAGAGAAGTTCGCTTCTAAGTTCGGACCCGAAGTCAACTGCTGAAACTCCGATAATAGCTGCTTTCGCTTCACACTTTTCATGGAAAAAATCCAACTCTCTCCCGGTTACTCCGGCCGCAAATTTGTCTCCCTCGGTTCCCCTCCCCGCCACAACAACCGCAATCGATGAAAGGCCAATCCCACGTGTGAGTTCTTTTGTGTTACGAACTTCATTTCTTTTAAGTTTCATCGTACAAAAACTAGCTAGAATGTTAGTACTTGCAGTGGAAAAAGTTTTGTGAGATCCCACATTGGTTGGAGAGAGAACGAAACATTCCTTATAATAGTGTGGAAACCGCTCCCTAACATACACGTTTTAAAAACCGTGAGGCTGACGGCGATACATAATGGGTCAAAGCAGACAATATCTGCTAGCAGTGGACTTGGGTTGTTACAAATGGTATCAAAACCAGACACCGGGCAGTGTGCCAGTGACAACGCTAGGTTCCCAAAAGGGGTGGATTGTGAGATCTCACGTCGGTTGGAGAGGAGAACGAAACATTCTTTTATAAGGGTATGGAGACCTCTCCCTAACATACGTGTCTTAAAAACCGTGAGGTTGACGGCGATACGTAACGGGTCAAAGCGGACAATATCTATAGTGGTGTGCTAGGGCTGTTAAAGGCTTACTACAATGTTGGTCGCTTCAGATTCGTAATTTGGTCTTTCATTCTTAACTCATGCAGAAAGAAGCAGCCCGTGCAGTTTTGAGGTCTCTATCCGTGCCCAGTAGAAGTATCGTTATAGTTCGATCGACATCTTTCGCTATCCCTAAAGCAACTTCCGAGGCCAGTACAAGTTCTGGTATAAATCCACATACCCTAAAGCAACTTATGTATCACTTTAATATTGTGCAGAAGGATGAAATTAAAATTTCAAAAGATTAGGGGCGGAATTTAAAAAAAAACACAAACATTAGGGGCCTTATTGTAAATTATTTGATGTATCAGATCAAGATGATTCTGTTACCTTAGAAAATGATGAAGAAATTCCTGAAGAGGAAGCAGTTTGTAGAATCTGCCTTGAACCATGCGAAGAAGAAAACACTCTCAAAATGGAATGCAGCTGCAAAGGAGCCCTTAGGCTTTTACATAAAGATTGTGCTATAGAATGGTTTAGCAGAAAAGGAAACAAGAACTGTGAAGTATGTAGGCAAGAGGTAAAGAATTTACCCGTCACGTTACTCCGCATTCCGACCACCTCTCAACGGGACGGTGGACCGCTGCATAATCGAGCGGCTTTACGCTCACAGACGTTGAGGTATTACAATGGCCCGTCATGATTTACGACGTTCGGAAATTCGTTTCGGGGTTTTTTGTGTGTCATACTTTGTGGAAACTGTACTTAAAGTTCTATATTTGTTGCAGCGCTTGGCAGGACTTTGTGGTGCTTGTTTTAATCAGCACAATATGCTACTTCTTCTTCCTTGAGCAGCTTCTGGTATGTCATTTGCTATGATAGAGGAAATTGATTGAATTTCGAACTACGTTAGGAATTTGTGAGATCTCAAGTCGGTTGGAGAGGGGAGCGGAATATTTTTTATAAGGGTGTGGAAACCCCTCCCTAGCAGACGTGTTTTAAAAACCTTAAGGGGAAGCCCGAAAGGGAAAGTCCAAAGAGGACAATAACTGCTAGCAGTGGGCCTGGGCTGTTACAAAGAGTATTAGAGCCAGACACTGTATGATGTGTCAGCAAGAACGCTGGCCCCGAAGGGGGTGGATTTGGGTGTCCTACATCGATTGGAGAAGGGAACGAGTACCAGGGAGGACATTGGGCCCTGAAGGGGGTGGATTGTGAGATCCCACATTGGTTGGAGAGGGGAACAAAACTTCTTTATAAGGGTGTGGAAACCTCTCCCTAGCAGACGCATTTTAAAAACCTCGAGGGGAAGCCCGAAAGGGAAAGCCTTGAACCTCTTCGTTCTTGATACAAAAATGAAACGACCCTCCCCTAATTCTTTCGAATTTTGAGACACATTAAATTAAAATGCAAAATTCAAATAAAGAAAAAAAAAATTAGTGGGTTTGGGCTGTTACAGATGGTATCATAGCCAGACACTGAATGATGTGCTAGCGAGGAGGCTGAGCTTCAAAGGGGGTGGGTTTGGGCTGTTACAAATGGTATCATAGCCAAACACTGAATGATGTGTCAGCGAGGAGGCTGAGCTCCAAAGGGGGTGGACATGAGGCGGTGTGCCAACAAAGATGCTGGCTCTGAAAGGGGGTGGATTGGGGGTCCCACATCAATTGGAGAACGAGGACGCTGGGTCCCAAAGGGAGGTGGATTGCTAGCCGTGGGTTTGGGCTGTTACAGAATTTGTATTCACATCGTGCTTGGATTAAGATATTGTTCAATCATGTTTTTGTTCATATCGAGATATAATATAGTGTTTTTGCCTTCGGATTGTTCATTTTTAGGTTCATGACTTGAGGACTAAGGCAATCATTTACGCTGTGCCTTCTGCGTTGGTGTTTGGTCTCATGTCATCGATATTCTCCGTCGTCCTCGGTATAGTTTTACGCAAAATCTTAAATATTTTCTATAGTTGATTTATGAGTCTCATAATTTGCTTGCTTGCTTAACTTTGCAGCAATCAAGGAGTATATATGGACATTTGCAGCTCTAGAGTTTGCACTTGTAGCTATCATTCTTCATCTATTCTATACTTTGGTGAGTAAAATCTTCATGCATTGGGCATAGCACAATGTTAGTCTGATTTCTGTGAGATCTAATTCAATCTTATAGTGGCTTGGAAAGAGAGACACTCTGTTTGTGAAGGGTTGACAAACAGATATACGAGCTAGTCGATTCAGGCTGCTTGTTGGCACAACAACAAAAAAAATGATTTTTGAAAACCAAACTGACCCGACTAACGAGTTTATTTTAGACCATCAGAATTGAACTATTAGAGTTATGGGTTCATCGAAACTGAAGCTGCCAAATTCAAATGCTTTTAGCTAGTGAAAAATTTTGTTAACAGCCTAAGCCCACTTCTAGCAGATGTTATCATATTTGGGTTTTTCTCTCAAGGTTTTTAAAACACGTCTACTAGGGAGAGGTTTCCACCCTTTTGGAGGTCCAACGTCCTTGATGGCACACCGCCCAGTGTCTGGCTCTAGAACAAGTGCCAGAGAGAGGTTTCCACCCCTTTTCACAATCTACCCCTTTGGGGGCCAGCATCCTCGTTGGCACACCGCTCACTGTCTGGCTCTAGAACGAGTGTCCGCAAGGACGTTGGATCCTGAAGAGGGGTGGATTATGAGATCCCACATCGGTTGGAGAAGAGAACAAAACATTCTTTATAAGAGTGAAAATCTCTCCCTAGTAAACGCATTTTAAAAACCTTGAAGGGAAGCTTAAAAGAAAAAGCCCAAGGAGAACAATATCTGCTAACAGTGGGCTTGGGTCGTTACAAAGATGATCTTGCCGGCTACAGCTATAGCTTCCTTCGTAACATTTCCCCCCCCCCCCCCCCCCCCCCCCCCCCCCCCCCCCCCCCCCCCCCCCCCCCCCCCCCCCCCCCCCCCCCCCCCCCCCCCCCCCCCCCCCCCCCCCCCCCCCCCCCCCCCCCCCCCCCCCCCCCCCCCCCCCCCCCCCCCCCCCCC